GCGAGTGGCGGGAGTTTATCGGTGCCCACGTGCCGCGGCTACCCGCGACGTCGTTCGCGGTCGCGTGCGTGCTCGTGGAGGAAGAAGCGCGACTGGCGATCGGACGCACTCTCGGCCGGTGCCGTTGCTACCGCTGCTGCTGCTGCTGCAGGACGTGCGTGTGCACTGGTCGCGTGGCGGCCGACGTATGTCGTGTGCGGGAGGACGCAGGGACGACACACGACCGCGTGGTGTATCGGCGATCCTGGTGGGGATGATCGGAGGTGTGCACCCTCGGGATGGAGAGAGTGGGGCACCGGAGGGGCCCCGCGAGGTGAAAAGCACCCCGCACACGGCGTACGAGAGAGAGAGAGAGAGAGAGCGAGAGAGGGTTGCCGTCGAAGGGGGAACGCAAATCGGGAGGGGCGATTTTCGTGGGAACGTCCGCGACGACTCGCGTGTACGAGAGTGCGTGCGTGCGTGTGTGCGCGTGTATGGATCTTTGATTGTGCGGCTACCGGCTGGATCCTGCGCTGCACTCGGTCAAGGAGATCGAGGAGGAAGCGATCTTCTCGCCGCTCCGGCCGTCAGCGGATGTGAGAGAAGAAAGAGACCGGAAACGAGACCTTTTCCAGGCTGGTGTGAATTCCCATCGTTTCCGTCAAAACGCGTTTGAGGAGTATTGTTTCCCGATGCTGTAATTTTCTTCAAGGGCTTATCATTTATGTGTCTTCTTGAAAGCAGCGCGATATCTTTAACTTGACGATTCTTATCGTCATTGGAAAATTTCATATAATGTTATTCTGTTAATCTTTATTACGTCAGATCATTCTTAAATGAGTTTGTCAAATTGTCAATTTTCCAAATATACACCTTTATAGAAATCCAATTGAATTATACTGACAGATAACGATTAACTTATTTTGAGTACTAAAAGCACTGAACAATAACTTTTTAATATTCAAAATAAGTACACTGAAAAAAAGAATATTAAATTTTAATAAATATTTGTTTGAATATATATTTACAAATGTAAACATATATATTCGGTACGAAAATTATTAATTTGCTTTAACTATTATTTTTTATTAAGTAAATATTAATTTAATGTAAGTAAATGTTTACTTAGTATTTAAAGAAATGTGTATTAAGATTCAGTACATCTTTCTTTAATGTAATTAGTCACTACTTTTCAGTATTAAATTAAAAGATTATTCATCGGAATTGTGTGCGATCCTACGATTTCATTCACATTGAAATACTTCGTCATTCTTAAATTCTTATAATACCTCTGCAAATGGAGATGAGAATTGTGTTTTTATTCGCACGCGAGAGAGAGAGAGAGAGAGAGAGAGAGAGAGAGACAGAACGAGTAATAATATCGTAAGACAATCAGCCGAATGTCTTCTTTCAATTTCTCGAAAAGATAGGCGCGTGATACCATGAAATCACTCCGGTGCCACCCTCGCGTGGGTCAACCTTCCGTCCGCGTTCGCACGCTCGTGCGTACGTCGCGGAGACATTCACGCGTGTCGGGAGTGCAGAGGGGGACATTCGCGAGAGAGAGAGAGAGAGAGAGAGAGAGAAAGCGCGAGGAGGGGGAGGGGGGGAAAGGGGGTAGAAGAGGGGAGCTGCGATCACGATAAAGTTCACACAGGAATCGTACGCGGCACGCGCTCGCATGATTATCGGCGCCTGGGAACGGAGCTGACTAATCGTATCGTTAACTTTTCAGCGGGGATCGACCGGGCCGATTACGCGACGTGAAATGCAGAAAGTAAATTGAAAGTCCACTCTGGGAAAAGTTGGCCCGAGGTGTACGTGACGCGGACACAGTATTGTAAAAGGGCTAGAAAGAGAAACAGAATTAGCACAATTTTAGTTATAATTAGTAATTTATTTTCCATTTAAGAAATATTTTAGTCTTTTTCTGATAATTAGTAATTTCTTTTGAATTTAAGAAATATCTAAGAAATTTAAGAAAAGTATTTTATGTTCTCTCTCTCTCTCTCTCTCTCTCTCTCTCTCTCTCTCGTGATCCACGCTTTCTTTTTTTTTCTTCTTTTAATATAAATATAAGTACATTTCTTAAACTACAGAAATTAACAAAAAAGTATGTTTTAACAGCATTAACAACAATTTAATCGAAAACAATCTTATTAATCCAATGACACTTGATGACAATATTAATGAAATAAATACGCCATGCTTTTGTTTTAATAAAATTTGTTTCATTAATAAAACTAAAAATTGAATTATTATAATTATTTTTAATTACACTAATATTGACTAATGTTGTAAACACTCATCTTTTTCTATATGTAAGAGAAACTTAAATAAATGTGATCGGAAAAACGTCTCAATATCGTGGAGAAGTACAAAACGTTTACATCAAAGTATTTTTTTAAATTAAATTAAAACAGATAGTGTCATCATAAATCTATTTTAAAACAATATTTTATAATTGATATACATACAATGCATATTGCATGTAGCAACATTCTCATTCTTATAATTATGCATGATGCAAAAAATTTAAGTTCCGAAAAATTTCTACCTTTAATTTCTTTGAAATTATACACGTGATTATACACGTGAATCAGTTTTGCGAGAAACTACAGAACATCGTAAACAGAGATTGATGCAGATTAATATCGTGCTACGTTTGCATAAGAAGGTCGATTTACCTCCCTGGCGATTGCATGCCGAGTGATGAAAACGGTGCGACGATGATCGCAGCGGGTATCGCGAGACGTGCACCGCGTCGCGTGCACACGTCCAGCACACGATCAAGGGCGCGAGAGAGGTAAAAAGAAAGAAAGAGAAAGAAACAGAGAGCGAGAGAAAGGGAGAAATACAAAGTGGATCGCGTGCCTATTTTTTTTTTGCACCTCGCACAACCGATCGACTATTCTTCGTCACCCCGAACTCACAACCCTACGAATAGTTCTTATTTCGCATTATATAATATCTTCCTGCGAGAACCCATCATGTCTTTCAGCGTCTCCTGGACAGAAGTGCAAGAGAATACTTGGATTCCCATAGGTATAGCATAGTCGCGCATTCCCCAGCTGGAAATTTTACAAAGGGATGATGTAAATCCAAACCGCAACTCAACTCTGTCAAGAGATCAAATTTTTGCAGATTTTTTTCGGACTACTTTCTTTATTTCTGATCGATAAACGAAAATAATAATTTTACTGAAGTATCTAACATTTAATTAAATACAGATCTGAAAGTGATTTTGTTGGATCATCAAAATAATTATATATATAAAACGCTTATACTGTTAAATTCATAATGTTAAATTACATCCAATTTGAGTTATTTTTAATTATTTCTGTAGATTTTTGCTACTGATTCCATTACTCAATATATCATAATTTAACTAAAATAATAGAGTTAAATAAGAAAATGTAACTCAAAAATTAATAAATTAAATTTGATTGAAATTTAATTTATTATTGTATTAGTGCGTTAATGTGTCGAAACTAACTATAAAAATGAATTAATTTACACTTTGACACAAATGGAAATTAAAAATAACAAAATATTTAACTGAAGGAATTGGATTGCTTTTTTGATAACTAGTAGTGTTCCTGAATACGATTACAGTGTGATTCTTTCAGCAATTTAGTAATAAATATATATGGTTGAACAGAAATTCGTTTCTGACAGAAGTCTCTGCATAGACTTTCCTGTCGATTAAAGGGCTACGCACAAATCAAAGGAATGGGGAACAGATTACAAACATTTACAAACTATTAGAAAATATGTAAACCACAATATATGATTTCTGATAGATTAAAATTCTTAAGGTGCAGCCACAATAGAAGGAATAAGGAATTAGGAATAAGGAATAACGATATTAAATATCGGATATACCGTAATACATGGTTTCTATATACAATACAATACGTTGAAATCTTTATTTCTTATTCCTATTCCTTATTCCTTCTATTGTGAATGAACCCTTATTCTTTATCCCCTGTTCCCTATTCCTTTGATTATGCACAATCCTAAGGGACTCCGTACAATAAAATCAAGAATCATGTATTGTGAAATACACAGTTCCTGATAGGTTCAAATTCTTATTTTCTGTTCTTCTGTTCCTTTGATTGTGCGGAGCTCCTAATAGATTATATTCTAGAATTCATTGTCAATTGACCTTAAGCACGAGAAAAAATCATAAGCAATAGAAACAAAGAATACATATCATGTATACCAAAATACACGATTTCCGATAAATTTATTAATCCTTCTTTCTGTTGCCTGTGCTTTTCGTTGTGTTTAAGATTTTAGGGATTATTTATACAAACCGTAATCTGTAAAAATTGATCACAAAATTAATCACAGTCGAATGAGAGAAATAATCGATTATGATTAATCAATTCTTACGAATTATGGCATAAATTAACAGCCATTTTTATAAATTATGAACGTGTTCAAGTCGGACAAAGTTGCTAGCCTGTTTGCCGAACGAATTGAATGTGATTGGTTGGATCTACAATATAAACAATCACACAATCGTTTTCTTTTGCTCAGCGAGCAGGCAAGTTTTGTCGACTTGAATACATCCAATGATCTTTTAATATTGAAAATTAATAGTATAGCTATCGTAAACTATAGATGTTCAGCATATTAAATTTAGAACATATGCTATAAAGGTGTCTTTTCATATTGACTTAATACTCATTTTTAACATCAAAACAGGTCATGTGATAAACATTGACGAATATTAAGCGTTAATTTTGTTTCTGTAATGTTCATGTAATCTGTTTTAGCGTCAGTGAAAGGGCACCTTAAAGAAAAAAAATCATTTAGTTATTTCTTTCTTCCGAAGGCAGGAGCCACTAACTAATAAGAAGAAGAAGATTTCTTTCTTCCGCTTCGAAGCACGTACATTGCGTTCCTGTATAATACACAGTACTATTTAATGTTGACAAATTTTGATTATTGTATCATATTTTCTGCGGACGTTAGATATTTACGATACGAGTTTTTAGATATACCTACATAAAATGTCTAACCATTTGTATAAACACGAATATTGGTAAGTTTAGAATTCTTTTTTTCTTTTTGTTGTAATTTTTGAAGAAATATATCATACATTGCTACTGAGTAACTGTAGAATAATGATGCATATACATTATAGTTCTAAATTTATATACAGGGTGTCCGATGAATTTTGACAAAACGCTCATATGTAAGATAAATTGTCGAAAAGTTCATTAACTTTTTGAAATTTTTGTAAAAATAGTTAACACAAGATATTAATTATTAAAAATTACTTAATATTGGTTTTCAATAATTTTGTATTCAAATACTATCAACGTTACAGAAAAATAGCAGGAGACAAATGTTTATTTTCTTCTCTGAGAATTTTATCGGAACTTTTTAATACCGTATTTTCGTATGTCGATAAAAATAGCTGCCAATATACATATGTATAAAAAAATGCGGTACAGAAAAGTTGATACAAATTTTGAAAAAATTCTTAAAGAATTCTATAAGAAAAAAATAAACAATTTTTGGCTCTTGCTATTTTTCCATAAGTTCATAATATTTTAATAGAAAATTATTGATGAGAAATATTCGGCAATTTTTAATAATTAATAATTTGTTAATTGCGAAAATTGTAAAATGATACAAGATGATTCGATTCCGTTTACTCCGTTCTATTTACACACGAGCGCTTTGTCAAATCTTATCGGACCTGTATATATATATATATATGTCTACGAAACATTAGGAGATATAATGATAAATAATAAAATTATTATTAAGATTAATATTATATTATAATTTCATTAAAATTTGAAACAATCATACAAATAATTTCACAAAATTGTCAATCGTTTGCATGATGAGATCTGTAAAATGATAGATTTTCAGTAATACTTTGTCTGTGAGATTCCAAATTTCGAACAAAGAAAATTTTGAATAAACGAATTTTGACCAAGAATAAAAAGTTATAATTTTTCAAGTGATGATATTAAATAGATTTGTCGACTTTTCAGATAAATAAGAGATATTCCGATAATATTAATTTGTTGCTTTCCGTACAAAACAATCATGAATAGTTTTATTATTTTTGTTATTAATTATTTTTCTAGGCATGATAAATTTCCGCTATTCAGGAAAAGGGTAAAGCTTTTTATTAACACCTACGGTTTCAATCCTGAAGTGCAAAATCTTAGCTGTTCGTTTTTGGTTACTCAGAGTGGAGAGGTATATTAAAAATTTATTACAAACAAATATATGACATTTGTATGAATTTTAACAATATAAATGGTTATTCAATACATTTTAAATGTTTTCTTATGTGTTTAGAAGTCGACCTAAACAGAGAATATAAAAAGATTATATTTTTATCTCATAATATATAGAATATAAAGAAATGAAAATACAAAATCCTTTAAAAAATAAGATAAATTCCGTTTTTATAAAAATTGAAATAAATATTGTTGATATCAAAAACACCTTTATTCTCTATAGTTACAATGATTAGTATATAAGAAAAATGAATTAACGTACATAATACAACATTTATATTTTTACAATGTTGTCATGTTGTAATATTTTTAAATTTTGTAATATATCATAATAAACAATATTTAAATCACAAATAAATAACATTCAAATCTTGTACATTTATATGTTTTATCAATAAGTTCAGTAAATTGATAGAATTGAAAGAAATTTTGTGTAAATTTTGTTCAATAAATTGTATAATATGTAGCAGTGCAGATAATTGAATACATTATTAATCTTTAGCTTGCTTTTATGCTGCATTACTTTATTCTCCGATATTTTATAATTTTGCAACTAAATTAAGTATATTAAGTTGTATATCTATAATACAACGCGCGCGAAAAATATGTGATAACACTATCTTTATGTAAAAGAAATATCTTTGGACCTGCCAAATCTTGAGAGAAGATACATTTCTACCAAATCGACGTATTACTAAGATAAGTCAATGGCCTGATGAGATTAATTGGACTAATACATGCATTGTACAATCCTCAGTTAACAATAAAGATATTTTCATTTTTACTGATAACGGAAAGGTAAAGTTGCGAATACATATATATATATATATATAAAATATCATACAAGTTTAACAATAATAATAATTTATATTCATGAATCGGTTATAAATATAACATGATTATTTAATTTTTAGTTATATCACTTCCACTTAATATGCCATCAGTGCCATATTGACCTCAGCATGAGAAAAATTGATACTGAAGTAAGATTCGAAGAGTTAAAAGTTATTGCTTGCGGCAGCTCTTCTTTTATATTTATTACTAATGACGACGAAGTATACGAGTGTACTAATAGCAATCATTATGGAAGGTTGGCACAATCATCTAACATACTTTCAAAAAAATTAATAGGTAATTTATTTCTCTTCTTAACTTATTTATAAAAAATAAAGATGCATAGATGGATCGTGGATTTATGAATATAATATTATAATTAAAATAATCATATTTGTCTAATTTTGTGAAACTTCAGTTAAAATAGCTGCAGGATTTGTTCATACCCTTGCACTCACTGATAAAGGAAAGGTTTATGGCTGGGGTACAAACACGCATGGACAACTGAATTTTAATGAAAACGAAGTAAGACAGTTAATCTCCCCCTGCAAAGTTGAGTTTTTTGTTAATTTATAATTTAATTGATGATGAAAACTAAAAAATGTATAATAAAGAAAAAAATCTTGTGATTAACAGATACTTATACCTAATGTGAGAAAAGTATCAGATATCGCCGCCATGAAATTTATAAGCGCTTTCAAATCTAGTTACGATGGACTTGTCTACATACAGGGTTGTTTACATGGAAAAAGAATTAGGCATTTGGCTGTCTGTGAATATACAAATATATTTGACAGATACAACTCATCGTTTCATTCGCTAAAAGAGGATCGTACATATACAGAGGAAGAGAAAATTTTATTGGATGATTTAAGAGAAGCGTTCGATGATTGTGTAAGTCTCATTTTCTGTTCTACTTATGCTTCTACTATAATGGATTTCCAATTGATTGGATACACGCTAAAAATCATCATCAAGAACATCGTTTGTTGAAGATGTACTAACATCGCATGTCAGCATTATTTACTTCAATTCTCCTTTTTATACTCTATAAATTTTTAACATATTTTTTATGAATCTAATAATCTTTCTCTTTTTATAAATTGTTACCTGTATTTATTTTTAACAATTCTTATTTTTTATCTTTGAAGTGCACGAGCGATCTTACAATACAAGTCAAGGGGCAATCAATTTACGTTCATAAAAGCATTCTGAAAATGCGTTCTTTATATTTTAAAAACATGTTCGAGTTTAATGAATCGGAAAACAGAAAAAGGTATCATTTATGAAAAGACTATAAAGAATTTTTATTAAAAATTTTTTAGATTTGATTTGTGTTATATTTTAACATCTTTTTTGGAACAGGATTATCAAATATGATGATCACTCATATCAAGCGTATAAAGATTTTTTTCAATTTTTATATACAGGCTGTGTCTTCTTTGAAAATATAAACAATATGATAGGTGAGTGTTACTTAAATACACATCGATACTTTCTTTAATCTTTCGTAGTCATATTGAGTTTAAAATGACTCTAGAATGCATTTGACCAATTTTTTTTACTTTATAAAATAAAGACTGAATATGGCAGTCAGTTAAATATACTTGGAAGTTTTGATTCTAGTATGATCATTGCTGAATTTTTAAGAAGTGTGACCCCGAAGGGTTAATTCGTAACTAAAATGAATTTTTCGTTATATTAGAGCTCTTGATATTAGCTGATAAATACTGCGAGTCAAATCTTGAAAAAAAATGTATTAAGCAATTAAAAATCAATATGGATTCATCAACCGTATCCTACATTAAGCAAATGGCGGAGATGTATAACAAAATGGTAACTGTATATTATATCTTTTTTCTATTATTTCTTTTTCAAGATAAAATATTATAATTTATGATGAGACTGATATATTGCCATTGAATTTTAATTCTTTATGTTTCTTCTATACCTTTTTTATTCCTGTTTTATTACACAATAGAATATATCTTTTTATTGAAATTCCTTAAGAAAATGTAATCATATTGTGTATAAAGTGACAAGATCACTAATAGAACCCCCACTTATGCCAACTGTTCTACTGTATTCAAGCAGATTCATGGGTACATCCAGTGGGAAGGCTCGAGAGTTTAAACTCCTCCGAAAATTTTTATTCATTTTTTATTTTTAATTACGTATAATTAAAATTTTATTTCTTATTCTGAGTAAATTTTTTGTTGTCACAAAAAATAATTTTTTCTCATCTTTACAATCATGTAAGTAATTTGTGAAACTTCCGATAAGTTTTGACAATATCTGATAAAGAAAATTTTCGCGAAACTTATTTTGAACAATAAACAGAATATGCGCTAAAATATTAATGAATATTCCATTCATAACTATATACATTTTGTTTTTAAGAACTGTATCTTGCTTATATTTTCTTTAGGAACAATATTGTGTGTGTGTGTGTGTGTGTGTGTGTGTGTGTGTGTGTGTAATTTCCAAAATCAAATATTTTTTGTATTCAATTCGGAAATAAGGAGGAGACATTCTAAATCCTATTAAAAAGCAATTATTAACGCAAAACAAGGCTGTTTATGAGATAACAGATTTAAATCATTTAAATCAATTAGACCTCTCTCGAAAGAAATCCTGGATACGCTCGTGATCATTTTTAATACTGAAATTCATTAATTGTAAAAAATATATCTCTGTATACTTATTTATTTATATGTCATATAATTTTCAGGAATTGGAGGAATACTGTCTTATCTATCAAGTAAGAAACGCATACGATCCTATGCAGATATTCTAAGTACGAAATAATAAATAATATTTCTATTTCTTTAAACTATTCTTATACCTTTATGAAATTTTGTGAACACATTTTATAAATTATTTTGTATCATTGTATGTTTTACTTCTAAGCATTATTTATAAATTTTTCATAAGTCGCTCTTAAGAATAATCGATATTCCTCAATCTTATGGATATATGTAAAATATAAAAATGCAAAAAAAAGATTTTTTCTAATATAAAAATTGAGTATATGTATTTTGAATTCTTAATGTTTTTTTAGTGGTAAACAATATAAAGAGTTTATTGATATAGTTATTTACTTTAAATATAGTAAATTATATTTGACAAATTAAGTTTTCATAGATGTGACGTAGTAGGATATATCGGAATTACCTATGCTTCGAAACTGTGGCTTGCTAAATATCGTCGAATTGCGATTACCATACTCCAGTCCTAAGAGACTCCGCACAATAAAAGAAACAGGGAACAGAGAACAGACAATAAGAATTTCAACCTATCAAGAATCATGTATTGTGGAATACACAGTTCTTGATAGGTTGAAATTCTTATTTTTTGTTCTCTGTTCCCTGTTCCTTTAATTGTGCGGAGCTCCTAATAGGTTATATTGTAGAATTCATTGTCAAATGACCTTCACGAGAAAAAATCATAAGCAACAGAAACAAAGAATAAATACACATCATGCATACCAAGATACACGATTTTCGATAAATCTATTAATCCTTGTTTCTGTTGCCTGTGCTTTTCGTTGTGTTTACAATTTTAGGGATTTATAGAAGCCGTAATCTGTAAAAATTGATCACAAAATTAATCACAGTCGAATGAGAGAAATAATCGATTATGATTAATCAATTCTTACGAATTATACCATAAATTAACGGCCATTTTTATAAATGGCCGTTAATTTATGCAATAATTTTTATATTATGAACATGTTCAAGTCGGACAAAGTTGTTAGCCTGTTTGCCGAACGATTGAATGTGATTGGTTGGATCTACAATATAAACAATCAATCGTTTTCTTTTGCTCAGCGAGCAGGCAAGTTTTGTCGACTTGAATACATCCAATGATCCTTTAATATCGAAAATCAATAGTACATCGTAAACTACAGATGTTCAGCGTATTAAATTTGGAACATATGCTATAAAGGTGTCTTTTCATATTGACTTAATATTCATTTTCTATGTCAAAACAGATCATGTGACCCCAAAAATTGATGAATATCAAATGTTAATTTTGTTTCTGTAATGTTCATGTAACCAAGTTTAGCTTCAGTGAAAGGGCACCTCTTAAAGAAAAAAAATCATTTAGTTATTTCTTTCTTCCGGAGGCAGGAGCCACTAACTAATAAGAAGAAGAAGATTTCTTTCTTCCGCTTCGAAGCACGTACATTGCGTTCCTGTATAATACACAGTACTATTTAATGTTGACAAATTTTGATTATTGTATCATATTTTCTGCGGACGTTAGATATTTACGATACGAGTTTTTAGATATACCTACATAAAATGTCTAACCATTTGTATAAACACGAATATTGGTAAGTTTAGAATTCTTTTTTTCTTTTTGTTGTAATTTTTGAAGAAATATATCATACATTGCTACTGAGTAACTGTAGAATAATGATGCATATACATTAATAATTCAGAATCGGATCGCTCCCGTTTAGTGATTTTGTTCGCCTTTTTAGCTTTATATAAAAAATCACGGGACTTTTTATATAAAGCTAAAGGCGATCAAAATTGAGATTCATTGCATTCTACTTAGATATATACCTACATACACTATAAATACAATGGAGTTACATACGTATCCCATCTGGTTTAGAATTACTAACCGATCATTTAAAAATGAACAAATAATCAGAGCGTATTTTTCTTAAAGCGGGGATTATTGAACAGCAGGTCTGTTTTTATAGCTACTCTGAAACTGTGCAATAAGTTAAAGTGGAACAAACGGATATTTATTTCACTTCAACTTATTGCACTGTGTGTATTAGTTTTGAAAGTGCAACAATAAAAAACAGATTTAGTTTGCTGCATCTAGATTAGTCTAGATAAAATGGCGTCATTTTATTTGTACTAGAATATATATTTATCCATATTTATAGTCTTTCCTTGAGGAATGAGGATACTTTATTTCTTATTTCACGTTTTGTAATCCTTTCTTGTGCAAATAAGGAATCTTATTAGCTTTCTTTTCTCGAGGAAGATTATGGGTGTCCTCGAAGAGGAAGTGCAGCTTTCATACCCAATCAAATCACCATATTTAGTTCGTCACACTGATCTTTTCATTTTCGATAGCTTTTAATTTAGATCTGTCGCATCGATAAATATTTTCGATAGGTTTTTTTTTCGGAAATAAACTGCGTCGAAAGTATTTTCTTTTTCTTCGAATAATGAGCCTTATGACGAATCCGATTGAAAGCAGTTATGCACATTAAAGCCGTTGTACATTGATTTAATTTGAATATAAAAATAAAATACAAATATTTCGAATTATGAAATACATATTTTACTCTTAACAGTATAATAAAATATTGAGTATTTTACAATTTATTTTTCGATTTCCATGTTTATTTATAAACATATATTTACGTTATTTTGTGTATGTACGACAGTTTTAATGTACATCAGTGCGCAGTGAGTGCGTTCAATCAAATTCGCTATTAGTTTTATTTTTATCCATTATTGTTTCAAAATGCTTAATTACTTTATTTAATTAACAATGCCTTTATAACTTTTATTATTCGTAGATCATGATATTAGGTTTGCATATAGTATATATTATGACATGCTGTCTTTAGTAGGTTACCAAAATCCCTAAAATATTCCTTCCTTCGGGAAGGCAGACTTGAGATCCATTTATGAAACAAGAAGGCCTTGGAGAATCAAGGAATCCTTCATGGTGGCTTCCTCCATCCTTAAAATAAGGAAGGACTACGAATACGGGTGATTATCTTAATCGGTATTTTAAATAAAAAAATGTTATTTTCTCTCAAATTATTTAGACAATTATCTTGTTTAAATTATTTAAGATGAAAATCAATTATCTAGATAATTTGAGAAAACATACTTTTTTATCTAAGACACAGATAAAGATAATATACACACATATTCTAGTTTTGGGATTTTGATACGGGACTAATCGAAAGAAATAAAATTGTTGAATTCGGTTATTCTGGCGTGCAATTTATTTAAACAAGAGGATGATCACCGCGTCTATCAACGTACGTGTCTCGATACCGATTCTTTCGTCTCCAACTCGGTCGCTGGTCTTTTCTTTCGCATAACACTGCATAACTCGGTATTAATAATAGAACAGTAAGAATCTGTGGGAGTTTCTTAAATTAAAAAATTATTTGGAACAAAATTGTGATTAAACATTTTGGAAGTATTAAAAATATATGCAATTATATTGCAACTTTCAAAATATCATAGTTCTAAATTTATATACAGGATGTTCGATGAATTTTGACAAAATGTTCGTATGTAAGATAACGGACTAAACTGAATCGAAAAGTCCTTTATCATTTTGCAATTTTCGTAAAAATAGTTAATACAAGATACTTATTATTAAAAATTACTTAATATTGGTTTTCAATAATTTTTTATTCAAATACCATGAACTTTACAGAAAAACAGCAGGAGACAAATGTTTATTTTCTTCTCATGAACTTCTGAGAATTTTTTCAGAAGTTTATGATTTTTTAATATCGTATTTTCGTATGTCGGTAAAAATAGCTGCCAATATATACATATATATATAAGAAAATGCGGTACAGAAAAGTTGAAAAAAGTTAAAAATTTAAAAAAAATTTTTTAAGAATTCTATAAGAAAAAAGTAAACAATTTTTATCTTTTGCTGTTTTTCCGTAAGTTGATAGTATTTTAATAAAAAATTATTAATGAGAAATATTCAGCCATTTTTAGTAATCAATAACTTGTTAATTGCGAAAATTGTAGAATGATACAAGATTTGATTCAGTTTATTCCGCTCTATTTACACACGAGCGCTTTGTCAAACCTTATCGGACAACTTGTATTTTTAAAAAACATTAGAATATAATAATAAATAATAAAATTATTATTAAGATTAATATCATATTATAATTTCATTTAAATTGAAACAATCATATAAATAATTTCACAAAATTGTCAATCGTTTGCATGGTGAGATCTGTAAAATGGTAGGTTTTCAGTAATACTTTGTCTGTGAGATGTTTCCCAAATTTCGAATAAAGAAAATTTTGAATAAACGAATTTTAACCAAGAATAAAAAGTTATAATTTTTCAAGTGATGATATTAAATAGATTTGTCGACTTTTCAGATAAATAAGAGATATTCCGATAATATTAATTTGTTGCTTTCCGTGTAAAACAATCATAGTTTTATTATTTTTGTTATTGACTGTTTTTCTAGGCATGATAAATATCCGTTGTTCAGGAAAAGGATAAAGCTTTTTATTAACACCTATGGTTTCATTCCTGAAAAAGATCATCTTGGATCTTCGATTTTGGTTACTGAAAGTGGAGAGGTATATTAAAAATTTATTATAAAAAAATATTTGACATTTGTATGAACTTTAAAAATATAAATGGTTATTCAATACATTTTAAATGTTCTCTTATGTACATATTTAGAAGTTGACTTAAACAGAGAATATAAAAAGATTGTATTTTTATCTCATAATATATACAATATGAAGAAATGAAAATACAAAATCCTTTAAGAAATAAGATAAATTTTATTTTTATAAAAATTGAAAAAAATATTGCTGATATCAAAAAAACACCTTTATATTCTTTATATAGTTACAATGATTAGTATATAAGAAAAATAAATTAACGTACATAATACGTCATTTATATTTTTACAATGTTGTCATGTTGTAATATTTTTACATTTCCTAATATATCATAACACAAATATATAACATTTAAATCTTATATATTTATATATTTTATCAATAAGTTCAGTAAATTGATAGAATTGAAAGAAGTTTTGTGTAATTTTGTTCAATAAATTGTATAATATGTAGAAGTGCAGATAATTCAATACATTATTAATCTTTAGCTTGCTTTTATGCTGCATTATTTTATTCTCTGATATTTTATAATTTTGCTAAATTCAGTATATTAAGTTGTGCGCATATCTATAATACAACGCGCGCGGAAAATATATGATAATCCTATCTTTATGTAAAAGAAATATCTTTGGGCTAACTGCCAAACCTCGAGAGAAAATACAAGAAAAAATCGATGTTTTACTAAGATAAGTCAATGGCCTGATGAGATTGATTGGACCAATACACGCATTGTACAATCTTCAGTTAACAATGACGATATTCTCGTTTTTACTGATAATGCAAAGGTAAAGTTGCGATATATATATATAAAATATCATAACAAGTATAACAATAATAATAATTTATATTCATGAACCGGTTATAAATATAACATGATTATTTAAATTTTAGTTATATCACTTTCACTTAAGGTGCCATGAGTTGCATATTGAACTCAGCACGAGGAAAATCGTTACTCAACTAGAATACGAAGAAGCAAGAGTCTGTGCTTGCGGCAACTCTTTTTTTATATTTATTACTAATGAAGAGGAAATATACGAGTGTACTAATACCAACCTTAATGGAAGGTTGGCACATTTATCTAATCTACTTTCAGATAAACTAATAGGTAATTTATTTCTCTTCTTAACTTATTTATAAGAAATAAAGATGCATAGATGGATCGAGGATTTATGAATATAATATTATAATTGAAATAATCATATTTGTTCAATTTTGTGATACTTCAGTTAAGATAGCAGCAGGATTTCTTCATACCCTTGTACTCACTGATAAAGGAAAGGTTTATGGCTGGGGTACAAACACGCATGGACAACTGAATTTTAATGAAAACGAAGTAGAACAGTTAATCTCTCCCTGCAAAGTTGAGTTTTTTGTTAATTTATAATTTAATTGATGATGAAAACTAAAAAATGTATAATAAAGAAAAAAATCTTGTGATTAACAGATACTTATACCTAATGTGAGAAAAGTATCAGATATCGCCGCCATGAAATTTATAAGCGCTTTCAAATCTAGTTACGATGGACTTGTCTACATACAGGGTTGTTTACATGGAAAAAGAATTAGGCATTTGGCTGTCTGTGAATATACAAATATATTTGACAGATACAACTCATCGTTCCATTCGCTAAAAGAGGATCGTATATATACAGAGGAAGAGGACGATTTATTGGATGATTTAAAACAAGCGTTCAATGATTCTGTAAATCTCATTTTCTGTTCTTTTCATTTATTCTTTTAGTATAATAGATTTCCAATTGATTGGAGACTAGAAGTCATAAGAACATCATTTGTTGAAGATGTACTAACATCGCATATCAGCAGTATTTACTTCAATTCTCCTTTTTATACTCTATCAATTTGTAACCTATCTTTTATGAATCTAATAATCTTTCTCTTTTTATAAATTATTACCTGTATTTATTTTTAACAATTCTTATTTTTTATCTCTGAAGTGCACGAGCGATCTTACAATACAAGTCAAGGGGCAACCAATTTACGTCCATAAAAGCATTCTGAAAATGCGTTCTTTATATTTTAAAAACATGTTCGAGTTTAATGAATCGGAAAACAGAAAAAGGTATCATTTATGAATAGACTATACAGAATTTTTACCAAAAATTTTTTAGATTTTATTTGTGTGACGTACTTTAACATCTTTTTTTTTGGAACAGGGTTATCAAATATGATGATCACTCATATCAAGCGTATAAAGATTTTTTTAAATTTTTATACACAGGCTGGGTCTTCTTTGATAATTTAAGCGATATGATAGGTGAGTGTTAGTTAAATACACATTGATACTTTCTTTAACCTTTCGTAGTCGTATTGAAGTCAAAATGACTCTAGAATGCATTTGTCCAATTTTTTTTTTACTTTATAAAACGAAAACTGAATACGGCAGTCAGTTAAATATACTTGGAAGTTTTGATTCTGATATGATCATTACTGAACTTTTAAGAAGTGTGACCCGGAAGGATTAATTCTAAAATGAATTTTTCGTTATACAGAGCTCTTGATATTAGCTGATAAATACTGCGAGTCAAATCTTGAAAAAAAATGTATTGATCAATTAAGAATGAATATGAATCCATTAACCGTATCCTTCATCAAGCAAATAGCGGAGAAGTATAACAAAATGGTAACGGTATATATTTTTTTATTATTTCTTTTTCAAAATAAAGTATTATAATTTATGATGAGCTTGATATATTGCTATTGAATTTTAATTCTTTATGTTTCTTCTATACCTTTTTTATTCCTGTTTTATTACACAATAGAATATATCTTTTTATTGAAATTCCTTAAGAAAATGTAATCATATTGTGTATTTAGTGACAAGACCACTAATAGAACCCCAACTTATGCTAACTATTCTACTGTATTCAATCAATTTCATGGACATATTCAGCGGGAGAGTTTAAACTCTTCCGAAAATTTTTATTTATTTTTTATTTTTAATTATATACAATTACAATTTTATTTGTTATTCTGAGTAAATTTTTTGTAGTCACAAAAAATAATTTTTTCTCATCTTTACAATCATGTAAGTAATTTGTGAAACTTCCGATAAGTTTTGACAATATCTGATAAAGAAAATTTTCGCGAGACTTATTTTGAACAACAAATAGAATATGTGCTAAAATATTAATGAATATTCCATTCATAACTATATACATTTTGTTTTTAAGAACTGTATCTTGCTTATATTTTCTTTAGGAACAATATTGTGTGTGTGTGTGTGTGTGTGTGTGTGTGTGTGTGTGTGTGTGTGTGTGTGTGTGTAATTTCCAAAATCAAATATTTTTTGTATTCAATTCGGAAATAAGGAGGAGACATTCTAAATCCTATTAAAAAGCAATTATTAACGCAAAACAAGGCTGTTTATGAGATAACAGATTTAAATCATTTAAATCAATTAGACCTCTCTCGAAAGAAATCCTGGATACGCCCGTGATCATTTTTAATACTAAAATTCATAAACTGTAAAAAATATATCTCTGTATACTTATTTATTTATATGTCATATAATTTTCAGGAATTGAATGAATACTGTCTTATCTATCAATTAAGAATGGCATACGATCCTATGGAGATATTCTCTTAAGTACGAAATAAATAATATTCCTATTTCTTCTTTCTAAACCATTTTTATATCTTTATGAAATTTTGTGAACACATTTTATAAATTATTTTATATCATTGTACATTTTACTTCTAATTATTATTTATAAATTTTTCATAAGCCGCCCTTAAGAATAATCGTAGATATTTCTCACTCTTATGGATATATGTAAAAAATGCAAAAAAAAAAGTTTTTTCTAATATAAAAAATGAGTATATTTTGAATTCTTAATGTTTTTTAGTGATACACAATATAAAGAGTTTATTGATATGGTTATTTATCTTAAACACATAGTAAATTATATTTGACAAATTAAGTTTTTATAAATGCGACGTATATATTAGGATATACGAGTATACCGGAGTTACCTATGCTTCGAAACTGTGACTTGCTAAGTATTGTCGAATTGCTATTGTTATATTCCATTCATCGATGCGATTTGTATACTTTTGCAATTTGTGTTACGATTTATATTTGAATTGTCAAGCACAAGAGTCGACTTAAAGAATCTATCGTCTATCTAATATCATTTCCGCGAAATCTCGGGCAATTTATCATTACAACTTTATAAACGGGACACACTCGATGGGTGTTTTCTGCATTGCCTTAGACAAATTGGTTACGCTTGATAGAACGCGGCCAATCGATACTATGTGAAGCATTAAGCCGTTCGTCTCTATTTAAAAAAGGGCCTGACTTGAGAAAAAAAAAACAGGGACGCTGTGTGAGTCATCGGGCACCATTAAGCACCGCACAGGTTACGATATCAATGACTTACATCGTTCCGTATTACAGGCCGTGAGTAGGGCCAAAGTATCCGTCCTCGTACTTCCGGTCCGCACGCGACTTATGCACGTGAAGGCACGTGGCGTAAATCGAGGTGTTTACGTACACACATGCGTGCCAAGAAGTGTGCCGCGTTGCTCTTCGAGGGAACGGACATGCCTTGTCGACACTTCCGTATTTTTTTTTTGCTGCATAAGATCGCTATTTGCGCCGTACGAAATATAACGCCATTAGCCGAGATAGGACGCAAAATTATCTGATCGCAGATTTGAGACAGAACGCACGGGAGATAAATATTATATTTAGGATTTTTTTCACAGATAGAAGGAATCCTCATTGTTATAAAATAAATAAAATCCTAATTGATAATTGCTACGAAATTTTCTTAATTGCTATTTTCGGGGCAATGTAACAATAATAATAATTATTCCAATTATAATATATTATTGCTTCATTAAATGTAATATGGCTTATAATGTTATTCGAACTTTATTTAAGTGAACTTTAAATTAATATATCTTTGCTAAAGTTAACATGATTTTTTTTATTTTAAAGATTAAAATCTGAGAAATATAATTATGTGACTTATTTAATGTTGGGAAAAACATTTGTTATAAAGAATTTTTCACAGCATAATTGGAAAGAATCCACTGGACTCGTGAATACTAATAAAACGTCAGACTCATGTTACGCTATTTATACATATTAAATTAAACAAAAAAATTCATATGTGATTAATTCTTGTGCTTTGCGATTTCGAGGCGATCGCCACATCGGTGTCTGGTGGCTTCGACCGGCGAAAGCCCAGTACTTTCTATCGGCAAATATTTATTCATAATTTCGTTTCAATCATGCATATATACGCGCGTTGATGTTGAGTGGATTTAGCCGCTGGTCAGTCCATCTTCTGGACAAACAACGCCGCGCGCGGGAGGGAATAAGGACACCTCCGTCCCAACGTCATACCAAACGCACGCACACGAGCGGTGTCCCCATGCGTAAAGCAAACACGCATAAAATTACGTATTCGTAGCTCTCCCGTACCAGTCGGCGGGCGAGCGGATGTATTCTTAGAAAAACACGAGGCAGGATTGATATGGGATGGACCGCCGCGATATATTTGCCTGGCCGCGGTCGATCGCGATTGCAACAATATTAGAATTTCCGCAACAACGCCCGAAGTTCTTTCTCCTTCTCTCTCTCTCTCTCTCTCTCTCTCTCTCTCATTTTTGTTTTTTTCCCCTTGCAATTATTTATGGAGAAAAAATGACGCAGGAAAACACATTATATTGACCCTACTGATTTCTATAGAATTATTTTGCAACGTATTTTTTAAATACATCTTCTCTAAAATATGTATTGATTAATAGAAGATTTTATTTCTTAGTATTTTTTGGTGGAAAATCTTTTAAATTCAATTTAAAGGCATTTTAATAAGTAATTCATACTCAAAACTTAATTATTTTTTAATTAACAATTTTTCTAACATGTACATTATTAAGTACATCTGATATCAGGAGAGATCAGATCATCTCCAAAAGAATGAAATCTCACTCCAAAGGATTTAAAGAATACATCCTTAACGTGACTGTGAACTTTCCCGCAACTTGCGTCTCGCGAAAACGAGATAGGCCGGATGGGCTGATTTCTGCTGAACAAAAGTTAACGACGTGTCGGGCAAAGCAGTGGTCAGTCACTCCCCCGATCGACTGGCAACTTGACCGGCCACCACCGACAGTTGGCGGCTACCGACAATCGTTCGATAATTGGCAGACATTGTCCCGCGCACGCGGCCGACCAGGAGCTGAACGGAGGACCGTCCTACGCTTTACGATTTGTTGATCACCGCCGCGATCGTGACGCGGACTGATCGGAAATATGAATTTATCACCGATCACGTTACACCAGCGAGATGACGGCCGAGCGGTGTAATCGATTATGAGGAGGCGTTTGCATTTGCGGTCTACTCGTTCCTCCTGATGTTTGCCCTCGTAAATCTGCCGCGATGACTGGATGTTGTACCGCCGTAACGTGAAATTGAGAAAATCCCCGAACGGGGATTATCGTGGAAATTACGTCATGCGTATGTCTATTGTTTCACAAACTTGACGAATTAATTCTGTACGTAATTAATAGTACTTTAATATCGGTTTTTCATCAATCAGCTTGTTACATTGAAAAAGAAATGTATTTTAATAAATATTTGTTCGCATAGTAGTAACTAAATATTTATTAAATTTAAACATATATTTATTTAGTATACAATTATTAATTTGATTTTTGAAGTCTTTTTCAATAAGTAAAATTTATTTTCTGTAAGTAAATGTTTAGTACTATTTAAATAAATATTTATGAAAATTTAGTAATTTTGTTTCAGTGTACTCGTTACATTATTTGTTACGAGATGTGTATTATATATTTACGTAAATATATATAAACTTATTCCGTTAGTATAGTAAGTTTTGATTTATTTCTTGTTGTAGACGTTCCGCTCTGTTATATAATTATTTATCACGAATTTAATTCATAAGCTAATGAAAATTACATGTTTCTCTTGCGTATTCAAAAGATAGAAATAGATATTTTTAAAAAAATTTTTTCTTGATTAATTGATTAATAAATTTTTATCGTTAAAATCTTTATATCGATTAATTTCATTTGAATTGACATAATAAGACTGTACAACACGAGTCGGACATCTTTGTATCCCAATTAAGAGCACATAGGGCGGATTCTCCTGATTTTGTTGAATCACGAGCCAGCACCATCTGTGTCCTTTGCGCCCTTTGAAAGATCGATTTGCAACCGGCAAGTCACATTCGCACTTAACATTAAATTAATCGATTTCGATTATCCCGCTATTGATTTTACAACGAGACTTCTAAATCAAGATATCCCCCTTAACGTCATCTCCTAACGTTTCCAGAAAACACAAATCATAATAAGATGAACACATCAAGTAGAAATTATTTTAGAAAAATCATAATGTACACTTTTGGCGATAATTTTGTGATGAATTCTTAGCATGATAATAATTTTTAAATGATTTGTTAATTATAATATCAAATGCCATCATTATGATTTTTCCTAAAATGATTTATACTTGACGTTATATTGAACTTTATTATCATTTTCTTAACTAAATTTTTTTAACTAAAAAATTACTTGAATATCACTGTCATGTCAAGAATCACAAAATCATTGTTACAAGTGTATAAAATAACATTATAATTTTTCCTAAAATGACTTGATGTCATCCTGATCTCATGATTATTTTGCGTTCTCTGGATTTACATGTTTACAGTAATCAACGGAAATAAATTAATGCTCTTGGCAAAAGTTCTTGTTTTACACGAATTGAATTTGCTGTTGAACTCTTGAAATACGTATCGGAGTACCTGACGTGTGAATAATCGTTCAATATATTACCAGGACGAAGTACTGTACATAAATTACTTTTTTCAAAGTGACTTTACGGTGCATTTGCTACTATTTTCCGAGTTCTCATCGTAATAAAAAAAAATCGCTCGCTTTCTCTGTTTTAGAAAAAAAAAACTGCATTTTCGGGAAAATAATGTAATACTCTCGAGCGGCGTGTGATTGAATTTAAATGCGCGCACCCTAAAATTATCCCCATTTGAAAGTCGTCCCTAATCGTCATGGCGATTCGCCGCGGTCCAAGGCGGTTCAATTGCTAGACAAGTGCACAACTCGATATTACGCTCGTATATTAAAACAATTTTTTCGACTGCGGCTTTAAAAGGCGACAGCTGTCAGTCCGGTTTGACAGACCGAAACTGCAACGCGCGAACCGGACACGAGCGGTTCATTAAGCGGAGAACTTCTCTGATTTTTTTTTCAGCACGTTACAATAAAACCTCGGCGAATAATGCGTATACGTATGAGAGATTCGCAAGTGATCGCACTTCGAATTTCAGGCCGAAACGAATGTAAAGACAAAGTTTTATGGCACATGATATCTATCATTATTCTATTATTTTATTATTAATTAATTTTATTAATTAAGTGATTCTATTTTAATCGTGTATTTTTCCCAGACAACACATTGAGATATAAGACGTCTCTCTTTTGGATATTTTGTGTTGTCTGGTTTATTATTCATGTCAACATTGTTTATTATTATCGTTAAAGATCGACTGGATTAATTTACTATCATTTGCATTAATTCTAATTAA